GAGGGAGGCAGGGCTGATAGATGTGACGCTTGTAATCGAGGTTGAAGTCGGCGATGAGAGGGTTGAGACCGCAGATGGTGCCGACTAGACTCTTGAGAGTGTAAGTACCGGAGGTGTAAGCGTTGCTGAAATGAGCACCGCCACGCTTAGGTGTCTTGTCGTGCTTGAAGCCATCATCGTAATCGCCAGTGACATATCGGGCATTTGGCATCAAGTTCTTGAGGCGTTCCTCCACATCCTCGGGAATCTTCTTATCAGGGTAAGAATCCTTGAACTTCTCCCACATGTGACCGCCCTTCTTGAAGGGGAACACATCGTTCCTGGTACTTTCGAGCAGGAAGAGCATGACATGCTTGACAGAGACATCCTTGAGCTTATCCTTGAGCTCCTCCAGCACAGGCTGATCGAGGTTGGAGATCTTCATGGGATCCTTGGCGGCGTTGTAATGAAGCTCGTTGGGTGTATACCAGTCCTCAAAGCCAGCGAGGGGCTTACCCTTGGGCAGCCAATCCATCTTGGGAGGCTCGCCAAGGGCTGACTTCTCATCCCACTGGTGCTGGATACCGACTTGTTCAAACTTGGAGGGGAGCTGATCGAGGAGTGGTGCGGTTGATGAGACGTCGACGAAGGGGAGAAGACCAGTGGTCCATGAGAGGAAGAGAAGGGATCGATCATCGGGACGTTCAAGCAACAAGACCAGCATGACAATGGTGAACAGAGACCAGAAGAAGTATGGCATGCCGTAGTGAATGCGCCTCACAGTTGAAGGCTGCACTCGAACGCCGAAAGTGCTGACTCGTTGCGAGATTCGAGAGTATAGTGTCTGCGACTTGCCATGCTCGACAAAATCCTCCAACCAAGCCTCATCATCAACATCATCGTACTGGGCCTCCTCCGCAATGGCAGGTTCTGGATCGGGAAGAGGACTATAGATGTTTCGCTTCCTCAAGAATCGGTTTGTCGCAGTCCGCGCCATGGCCCAAGGGAAATGGATCATGTCCGCACCCCACCCAAACACTCTATAGCACACATTCTGAAGAAGCCAAGCAAAGACGATCAAGCAAGAAGCGACCAAGATAAAGGTCACGAGACCAGAAAGGAAGATGGCTCTGGATGTAGGGTCGGACACAAGGTTGAGGTTTCGCCAGTGAATCTCGGCGCCGGAGACGAGGTAAAAAGTAATGGATATTAACGAGAGGGCGACATTGTATAATATTAATAAACCAGCGACTGCTGTGGTGGCATAGTATAGTATTTGGGTCCTGGGAGACCATTGGTCGAGGAGGAGTCGGATTAAAAGAAGGACGAGAATATCTTGCACGAAGAATGTACTGAAGAAGGTGAATAATCGAGCGGTAGCGACTGCGTTTCGGTGGCTGTGAATATGGGCGAGCTTGGATGCGAAGAGGGCTGAGACAGCAAAAGTAAATATGAATGGGCGATTGGCAAGACGAGCGCCCAACCTCGTGAGCCAAGAGGGTATGCAGACCATGGTTGGTAGATAAAAAGCCGTAGAGGCTTGAAAAAAGAGATAAGATAAATGATAAGATAAATGAATGAGAGTATGTAGCACTGTTCACGTAGAATGCTTATAAGAAAACAATGTCACCTCAGAGCTAAAAGCCAAGCACCATGATCGCCGTTTCGTTCTAGAAGAAAAAACAGACAAGAAAACTCGAGACAAGAGATCCAAAATGTGGAGAAAGAACCGGGAGCCCGGGACTATTATAACAAAATTCCCATCATCGTCTATGGCTCTTTTGTTTTTTAATTAGCTGCGGCGTCTACCCAAAAAGCCCTGACCGAAGCGCCCCCCTTTACGTTATGCAAAATAAAAAAGAACAGCTCGCGTGCGCTGTTTCCTCTTTGCTTTGGGCCTCTGGCTCTAGCCTAGCTCCTCTGGCCCAAGCAATCTCGTGTTGCGGATTTTCGGCACCGTCTGCTTATGCTCTGGGGGAACGTGATTGGCGGAGACGCGGGATTCACCTGTTTTTAGGGCGAGCCGAGGAGCCGAGTTTCAACTAAGCCCACTGGGAGAAAAGGGGGCGGTGTTGGGTAACGGGCTAGAACTCTAGTGCTATTGGTGGAGAGGGTACATGGAGGCTAAACATGCTATGGTATGATGCACCGCAGGAGCTCGTTTAATCTTGCTGTACCCGAGGTCATGCAGCACGAGACCAATTTCTTTCTGCTGCATAGCGGCCGAGACTTGGTTGGGCGGAAGAGAAAACCCTTGCTCGGTTATTCCCGAATCTGGACCTGAGAATGAGAGGAGGAGCTGCAGCCCTAACGCTGAACTGTCAATGTCATGCCATGTCATTGCACCCTTTTCACTGACTCTTTCGTCATAACCCAAAAATACAGTACAGTAGGTAGCATGCCAGATGGCAACAAGGTTTCCCTCACATGGTTCAGGTAGGGAGTGTCCAAGCCGTTATCCGAAGTGAAAAAGTCAATGTTTTGTTCATCTTCGGTATGTAAACACAATGGGAAACAGAACAAAGGGCATTTACTCATTATCCCTCGTTTCAAAGGACATTGCATAAACGAGCGAAATTGGTGGGGTCATGATGGCCTGAGTCATATTAAAACTTCTGCCTACTGTACCAGAACAGCTCCTCCTCAGCTCAGCCTCTCTGCGCTGGCAATCCTCCCAATCCAACGTCAGCCACTTCCTTCTCGTGTAGATCATTAAGGAAGAAGAAGAAAAAAAAGGTCCCCTTCCCCTCTCGCGAAGGAAGGTGCCAAGGTGGCTAAAACCAAGGGACCGGCTACATCGGAAATGTTGTTCTTGTCGCGGAATAGCGGCATCACAAGTTGCAGGGGGCGCACATTCTAGGCCCCTGGGGCAGTGGGGAGGTCTGACTGTGAAGGGTTGCAGTAGATCATCCGACTAAGATGAGTTAGGCCATCGCGGCTAAACGCCAGAATCTTTGTGATTTGCTGGCTTTTCATCCCTTGATTCGGTATTGATGTCATTGGATAATTCTGCACGCCTGGTAAATGCGATTGACGCTCTGTGCTGCTGACACGTAGCTGTTTGAGCTGTAGCGAATCACGAGAAAGTTTCTCCGAACACAAATTAGGCTTTACCGGCCGGTTACACGATAATGAAACGTCTCACGTGCGATTGGCTGCGTGTAGTTTGTTAGTCCAGGGTAGTCCGTGCCGTTCCTTACGTTAACACCAAAACAGAAAAAGATCACGAGCTCCAGCTGGGAATTCACTCTGAATGGCCCTCTCGTATTTGGCGGTTCATGATGCCATGATCAATTATCATTCCGCTATTGAGCTTAGCGCACCGCGGTCCGCGATTTGTGGATTCGGGACCCCGGAACATATGCAGTTACCGAGCTTCGATGGTTTGACATGCGGGCTGCTGGATCCAGGGGTCGGGATGGCCTTGACGTGTTATACGAGATGAATGACAGCTCCTTCAGGATCTATACATAGGTCTAACACAAGTGGCCTTATGCAACTTCGACAAGGTCTCTGGTTCAGGTCTTGTTGGACCCCGCATGACTTTTTGGTCATTGTCAAAGGCAGTCACTTCATGACAGATCTTGGTTCTGAAACTCGGCATTATTATACGCCGCATTACCGCGTATTCCTTTTATATCATACATCAGTACTGTCATTTTGTATCTGGTAATTCCGCCCCAGGTAACAGGAAGTGTCTAAACCAACACTTAGTCAACCCCGTATTCCAGCTACATGTAGGATCATAGTTACGAGATCCTGCCCACAAGATCGTACTTAGGTAGCAAGCCCTTGTTTTTAACCTTAATACTTTTGCAAAAGTTCCATTTTTGCTTGGGCAAGAAGCCAACCGAACTCTGCACTCTTGTGGTCACTATGTCCTACCCCTTTTCCTTTAACTTCACCTATCACTTCAGACAATCCTTTTTCTCCCCCTAGAAAGCAAAAAGCACTGTCCCTGAGTAGCACGCGACCATATCTGAGTATGTCATGGTTGCTTCACCCGGCTACAGCGGGCCGTTCGGCCACTTAGCGCCCGAGTACAGTCCAACCGCCGTGTCATTGGCATTGGATAGGGGGTTTGGGAATCATTCCTAGGGAAAGACAAGCAGACATTCGTCAGTCACCTAATCTGAAGACATGCTTTCTAGGACGTTCAATAGGGGGTCACTGGGGACTCGGTGCAAAGGCACCATTGATGACTGTTGTCCCCTTACCCTGCTCGCTGTCGGCAGCATACCTCTCGGCATATGATATTGCTTCTGTCTCAATCACTTCTATACCATAGGTCAGTGCAAGGGTTGCAGTGCTCGGAACTCCTACCCCTACGTACCAATATCATTGGCAAGAGAGATCTCTCCCTTTTCATGTAGTTCGACTAGAGCATCCTTGACCCAGATTCGGCACGTAAAATCCGCTCCGGTTCGACATGACGGCTTCCCATCTGCAGGAACAGACTGGATGATCTGCGTGGCGCGCAGTACATTGGAGACGTGGCTCGCTTTGACCAGTACTATCAGAGTTTGGTCAATAGCTGATTGGCCCCGTCTCTCCTCGTATTCCCATGGTCCCGCAAGGTTTGTCGCGTGATGAAGAACGGGCCGTCCAATGTCATCAGTGGTAATTAGTCCCCAGTGCTATTGACGTTAACTTGGACCGTAAAAGATACTGAAAAGAAAAGACTTGACGTACATATTCTCTTGGAGAAGGCCGGCTCTTCATTGCGATGTATATCGAGGAGCTCTCTAGATTTCCATGGAGTGTCATTGCTCGCTTCCAGACCGTATTGGTCGACGGGAGTAAGGCCTCTGACATGTTGTCACTTCGAAATGATGTGATTAGGTATGATATATCTCTGAGTTGGATTGTAGAAAGACTCGGGCAGGTATTATGAGATTGTTATGCTTCTCTAGGCAGCAGTATTATGTAATGGCCATTAGGTGCGCGACATCAACCAACATTCCCGGCTGACTTCATGATTTCGCCATCCTCCTCCAATTGCAAACTGAGATCTTTTGACCATGTCAGAAACTCAGAGCAGTCTCGAACAGACTCTCGCTGCAATCCGCAACTCCCGCCTCCAACATCCTGACGACCAGCTCTTGGAATGCTTTCTCACCGACTCAGTTGACCCCGAAGCAACTTCCCTATACTTGCTCCAAAGATGCACCGACGGCCAAAAATACTACGATTTAATTTCACTGTTATCGGAGTGGAAGGAGCTGGTTAGAAGTGGTAGGCACCTTCGACCCCGTCCTCTGAGTAAACAGTCCTGACTACAGCAGTCATTGAACAGTTCTCACAGCAAAAGAAGCCTAAGAGAGACGTCATCGCTAGTGTGACAAAGAGAGATAACCGTATATGTTGTATCACAGGACTCGAATCGTCCTTGGTTGATCCTCTGATCGTCACATCGATCTTCCCCGTAATTCGGTTCTCCAGAGAGGTAACCCAGCCTTGTTGTCTTCTACTCGATGACCTTTAGCTTACCAGAAGCTAAAGCCTCTGCAAGAGCTATTTTGTCTCTTCACTGGCTCTACCAAACAGGAACAGATCAAAGGCAATGACGATCGCGTTTATGGTGTGCAGAATCACTGGCTTGTACGTCAATCCGCCGCGGAAGCTCTAGCACAAGGCTACTTTCGCTTCACATCCACAAGAGGCTCTGATGTAAGTTTCCGTGGAGACTTTGTCTTCCCGTCTGCGCCTTGCTCACAATTTCGCAGTATCGTGTATCACAAGTCACAATTGGAGGGCCCAACCGACCTTCTATTGTGGACAAGATCCCGACTGTTCGAAGAGGTCGTTTTATGGATCATTCTGACTCTGGAATTGAGACTCCAGAAATCAGCTTGCTCCTAGCTACGTCCAGATTCTCGAAATCTATACGGTGGAGTCTAGTTGGTCGAGATATTGCCAATCGACCGCGACAACCGGCGAATAAGATGCTATTCTCCTCGTCTTGGCCTAGCATCTCGGAGTGCTTTGCTCTTGCATTTGCATCAATTTGCCGTCTAATGCCGGGTCGTTTTCGCATAGGGATCTACCAATCTTTGAAGTCTTTGGGTGTTCGAACCTATGGACCATCCTCTAGTCTCAAGGTTCAACAACTCCCTTTTGGCATGCACCTAAAGACGACGCACTGTGATGACTATCAAGCACTGGCAAACGAGTTCGGAGCTCTGAAGCTTGTCAGGAACCAGACCCAGGTTCCTGTTCCACGTCCGTTGGACCTGGTGTCTGACGCTGATGCGTCTTATCTGCTGACAACTACAATACTGGGACAGCGCTTGGATTCATACATTGATATACTCAGCGATCATGATCTTGACATTTTCAAGCGCGATATGCAGAAATACGTGGCACAGCTGCGCTCGATCTCGAGGCAAGAACGGCAGAATCATGCTATTAGCAATGCCGTTGGTGGTCCTTGTTATGACTATCGAATTGTGGCCTGCAGTGACTACGATAAGGAGCGTGGCGACTTCTTTGGACCATTCATCGACGAAGAAGAGTTCAACATACTGCGAACACCAGCGCTACCAGATGTGTTTCACTCCACGGGCCATGACATTGTGTTCACCCATTCTGACATCAACATGAGGAACATCTTGATGCATAACGGTCGGATCTCAGGTATCGTGGACTGGGAGAACTCGGGATGGTTTCCCGATTATTGGGAGTATACCAAAGCGCATTATGTTACCAAGCTCAACAAGAGATGGCTGGCAGTGGTCGATCGAGTCTTCGAGTCCTTTGGTGATTTCAAGCTTGATCTAGCAATTGAGCGTCGCTTATGGGAGTATTGCTTTTGACGGCCTCAACCTGACGGCATCCAGCAGCTCTGATATCTGGTAGGATATTGCGAGATAGAAACGTATCAGCAGCTAAAGGGTTGTACGGTATATCAGAAGGTCATAGCAAAAGGAACACAAGCCATCTCACGAATTCTTTATGACACGGACCATAATGGAAGACTGTCAATTAGGGTAACATTATCACTTGAGACATGTGTTTCAGAGAGTCCTCAGGTAGATATAAGCAACGCAGTTCATTCGGATGCAGTTATTAATAACTAATATGCCAATAAAGTACAAGAAGAATATCTCAAAAGTCCATCCATCCAAACACATGTCTGCCATTCCTCCAGAATCTCTCATAAGTCAGAAGTCCAGCGCCATCCTCTCGCTATGCGTTTCCACACAGGTCGTATACCATGATCGTGAATCAGCACGAGTCACCCACTCAATAACCACAGCACAAACAGCTACTGTCCTTCATCGTCTATGGGCGAATCTAGTAGTGAGGAGCCTGGTAGGTGGGAGCCTTGTACTCAGGCTTAGGAGCAGGCTTGGGCTTCTCAGCCTTGGGCTTGGTGTACTCAGGCTTGTGGGGCTTAGGGGCGGGCTTGGGAGCCTTGTAGGTAGGCTTGGGAGCAGGCTTGGGCTTCTCGTGGTGAGGCTTAGGAGCAGTGTACTCAGGCTTGTGGGGCTTGGGAGCCTTGGGCTTGGTGTACTCGGGCTTGTGAGGCTTAGGAGCAGGCTTGGGGGCCTCGTAGGCGGGCTTGGGGTGAGGCTTGGGAGCCTTAGGCTTGGTGTACTCAGGCTTGTGAGGCTTGGGAGCAGGCTTGGGAGCCTCGTACTTGGGCTTAGTGTACTCAGGCTTGTGAGGCTTGGGGGCCTTGGGCTTGGTGTACTTGGGCTTCACGGGCTTGGGAGCCTCATAAGTAGGCTTGGGGTGAGGCTTAGGCTTAGGCTTCTCGTGGTGAGGCTTGGGAGCCTGGTACTTGGGAGTCTTGGGCTTCTCGTAGTGAGGCTTGGGGTGAGGCTTGGGCTTGGGCTTCTCGTGGTGAGGAGCAGGGTACTCAGGCTTCTTGGGGTGAGGCTTGGGCTTGGGCTTCTCGTGGTGAGGAGCAGGGTACTCAGGCTTCTTGGGGTGAGGCTTGGGCTTGGGCTTCTCGTGWTGAGGAGCAGGGTACTCAGGCTTCTTGGGATGAGGCTTGGGCTTAGGCTTCTCATGGTGAGGCTTGGGAGCAGGGTACTCGTGCTTGGGCTTCTCGTGATGAGGCTTGGGCTTGGGCTTCTCATAGTGAGGCTTGGGGGCCTTAGGAGCCTCGTAGCTGGAGTACGAAACATCGTAGTTGGCCTCGGCGACGGGAGCGGCGAGGATGCCAGTGGCAAGGGTGAGAAGGGTGACAGCAGAGAACTTCATGTTGGCGGTTTAGTTTTCGAAGCAGAAAAGGAATTAAGGAAGGACTGTTGTCTTTGTTAAAGAGCGTAGAGAAGTTGCGAGTAAAGAGTGGATGTGAGTGAGTGACTGAAGAGCAGAAAGGAAAGGTAGTTTGGGGAGAGGATATCCAGCTCTTTTATGTGTCTGTCTACGGAGTATTCCCACGATGAATCTACTTTTAGACGCAGCAGTGACATGCTCGTCTAGCAGCCCTGTGAATAGCACACTAATCTCGGTTCACGGCTCATAGCGGAAGGTACCAGCAGCAAACTCATTGGTAGGGCAAATTCACATCATCCACTACGCCAGCTGAGAAGCAATTGACGTGCTCAGGGGCTGGTGAACTTCGAAGGTTGCGGTGATTGGAGAAGTCCGAGGTGCATCTCGGCAGCGCGCGGTTACAGGCACTATTGGGAACTAATCCAGGGCATAAGTTGTATATTATGGCAGTGGCTTGCGGTAGGGAAATTTGCCGCCAACGGCCATTGGCTGCAGTGGCTTAGCCGTCCGGGCTAGCGGTGTCTAGAACGCCTTACCCCTGAGGTTAGGCCAGGTCGGCTGATACCCACTGATTTACCGTCGTGGAGATTGCTGCTGATCGATTGGCTTGGCGATGTGCACTCAACTGAGCTAAGCTTTTTTTGCGATCTCATCTGGGGAATACGAGATGCAATTCAGGGGTGGTTGATTGGAGATTCCGTACTCGGTCTGTAGCCGGTGCCGTTGAGGCGTCTGTGTTTGTTGAGGTTGCGGAGTAATATTGAGAGTCAGCGCTAAATTCAGGTACTAGCGCCGCTGAGACTTTTCCCGTGAATGCCGAGTAGGGCTTTCAGGGGTTGAGTTTGCCCAGTTTCTGGGGATCTAGAACCAGAACCATGAATTGCCTTCCTTTTTTGTTGATCGCATCACGTAAGAATATTTGGAGTGACATGAGCTCAACCTCGCAGTGGTCGATGAACATCGCTTAACCGCTGGGCTTACATCTGTTGTTTAAGCATATCGAAAAGGCAAAACAGTTATTGGGAATAGTTCCAAGCCTCGAGCGTCTAAACAGCTCCTGTGGCTTTTTTTTTGGCTGAGTTATTTTGTTATTACCCTACGCCGTGATTGCCTTCATTTCATCATTCACGGTCGTTAAATAACCGCCGTTATTTGCCGCTCCGCTGAGATCCGGAGAGTTGGTAAGCCACAAACAAAGTCTGTGCAGGTTGAAGCTGAGCTATCAATCTCAACTTGGGCAACATGCACATCCAAGCTCGGAAGATGACAGAAGTTGACAGAAGTTTGTCAAGGACCAGGTGCGCAATTGAAAATGACAGCCAAACTTTCCGTCAGCGCATGATCTCCTTAGACGATTTGTAATCTGCCAAACTCCAATTCTGCCCCCAGAATCTCCTCCAAATCCGAGTCATGAAAATAAGCTTCACCAGTGAGTAAATAACTCTCATTACCTCCAATGTCACCCCGCAGACTTGCCGCATCCCATTTCTGCGCCTCCTGATGTCCCGGCCGCGCCTTCAACGCCTCCATCGAAATCTCACCGTTATACTTCTCTTTAAACGCAATCTTGCGCTTAATGTCCTCATCTCTTGGTGTAAAGACGTAAGGAACCTTGCCGCCTTTCACCGGTGTCACAACATCGCCCTTTTCAGCCCAGGCCGGTGCAAGGATGAGTCTGCCGCTTTGTGTCTTAAACAGAGCTCGGACCGTCTGTGCTCTTTGCAGGGTTCTTGCGAAGTGAGAGGCTTGGGTCTTGCGTTCTTCCGAGATGGCTTTGCGGTCCTCGGGTGACCACGGTTCATTGGGGTATGCTGCCCGAAGTTTGGTGTAGTCTTCTTGAATTTTTGCAATGATGGGTTCTCTTTTGGCGATGAATTCTTTCAAGATGACAGTTTCGTCGGTGATTTTTGATTTTTCTTTGTCGTGCTCTTTGATGTAATTATTTACCCAGTCGTCAAGCCATTGGCAGAACCCGATCATCTTGCTGCTGGGCCCGCCTCTCCATGTTCCAGCTGTGAGAAGGTCACAGAAGACCTCAAGAGGCGACGTTTTTGTCGGCCTCGGATATGCAGTCATGTTGAGTATCACTTCTAGCAGATGAAATGGCGGAGCGTAGTTGAAAGAATCCTTCAGCGCCGCAGCTTCCTGTGCGTGCTCATTCTCCTTGGAGCTCAGCGTGATCATGGACTCCATATCGTGGGCCAGATCGCCGAAGAAATTATACAAGACACAGGACTCGATGATGTCTAATTCCGCTACTTCGAGAAACAGCGATTTACCGTCAGCCGAAACGGATGGACTATTGATCATTTTGGAGATGCTTTCGAGCGGTGTCCTGTTTTGCCAGATGAGAGGCTTTATACACCGCGAGTTCTCAAGCCATGGCACCGCGTACCATGACGGTACATCTAGTTCAAGCTCTGACAGTTTGTCATACTTCATAGCTGAGTAGTGGATGCATGTGTCTCTCGTCATGTCGTAGAAGAATGGACTGCGATATCGCGTTGCTAGCGAGAGGAGGTTCATCGGCTCAGGACCCGACAAAAGACACAACGCCACCTTCTCAAGAACTGAAGGAAATTCGATGGCGTAGTCCGCATGTAGTGATAACCATTTTTGTCTACTTTCTGATGCAATTTGATCGTGATCTAGCGATGCGCTGCCGGGGCCTTGCTTTAAGCCTGGGTCCATCAATAGCGTCTCTGGCTTGATCAAAGCGAGTCCGCCGTACACCATATCCCTCGGATCTCTTGCCTCGCGGTTCTTGACGAGCCTGAACCATTCCTGTAGGCCAACTTTGTCACCCTCAGAAATCGTGCGGCGCGAATTGAGCAACCCGACAGCCTGGTCAGGCATGTCGCCAACCCACGTCAATATCTGTGCAAACATGTGCAGCCCACTGGTATTCCAAGCGCCCAGAATACCTCTCATCCAACCAAAAGCAACGGAAATATCTTCAGCCTCGAACTTGTAATCTCCCAGGAGGAAGATGGCTTCTTTGGCGAGGCATAATTCTTGCAGAACCCAAAGTCTTTTGAACCATTTACGCGTGACGATGAAGAAGACGCAGAGGACCAAATGCCAAAGCGACGTTGTTCCGACTCTGGTGTAGTAAAAGTCCTTGGATTCAGCAGCCTCGGTGATCTCGGGAAGTCCGGATTTGGTCATCTCAATGAGGTTCGCTACGCCTGGCGCGAAAACGTGGGGACAAGTACCCAGCCAAATCGTGACTTGGGACGCTGAACTGTAAATCCGATTCATCATTTGGACTTGTTGGCCCAGCTCAGTAAGGTTAGACTGGTTGATACAGATTGCGTCAATCCAGTACAGACCTGGACGCGCTTTTCTGAGCTGGAGAAGAGCTTGGTATAGGTTAGATTTGACGTAGACGCCTTTTCCGTCGCAGAGAATCTTGTCTCGGTCGGTCGTGTTCTCGACTGGCTTTGCATCTGGATTTGCTGGTCCAGAACGCGACCGAACCATGAGACGATTGAGAGTGTGATTAACAGTATCGACACCACTGGAGACAACTTTTGAAAAGTTAGGGACTTTTTGAGACAGATATCTCAGTTCGTAAGGAAAGCTTGGTGGGTCCAGCTCCCATGTGTACGAGAGCGCGTGGTATTTGGGGTTGTCTGCTAAGTCAACTATATGGAGAGAGCATTGCAGCATTTCGCTGGGGTTCCCGGGTTTGACTTCAAGAAGTCGGATACTTGAGGCTGTTGGCAGTGGAGAATATGAAAGCCCATTTGGACCAGCACCCTAGACCTTATGAGACTGACATCGCCTACCAGATTCGTGAACGTACAGTGAAGAGCTCTCTCGAGTGACGAATGATGTCACCCCTATCCTGCCACGTCTTTTTCGCCGAGAAGCCAACTTGTCGATACAACCTTGACGACCACGACGGGACATTATTTTCGCCTTGTCCCGCTTGTTCCGTACTCTTAGAACTCGTGCTATCAGACATTGTTTCAACAAAATGTCTTGGATTGAAACGAAACAACGCCAAGATGTTTCGCTCAGAAATGCCAGCGACTACCCTGTATTTAATCGGAAATAAGCAATCTTTGAGGCGGGGGCAGTGCTTGGCAAATCGCCAATTATTAGAGGACACCCTTCAAGCGCGTCCAATCATGTTAGTGATCGACAGGCTGTGCGTGACCATGGCTGGCTGAAAGTCGCATGGACATATGGCGATGCGATAAGATAAGGATAAGATAAGATAAGAATCATCAACCTGGATCTTTCGTTTCAGCTCGCTACAACTTACACTGACTAAGGATGCAGGAGCTTCGTTATTCAGAGCTGGAAGTATTTCATTCTATCAAACGTCTTTTCAATCAGCTGTCGAAAGGCTACTTGAAGTGTTCGGCTGCCTAAGAGTGTGCACCTTGTGGTGTTGGTTGCACTACATGGGATATCACGAGGGCTTCTAAATGAGCAGGGAATGCAAGAGGCGTAGTGGAACTTTTGATGAGACGGGACAACGACCAACAGAGGGTATCACCAGCGAGATAAGGCAAAAGGCTAGGATAATAATCGCTACAGTGCAATGATGTATAAATACATGCTAATTCTCATAATCGAACTTTTTCAGAACTTGAACTGGAATATTTTCTTCCAAAAGAGCCGCACCAATTATCACATTCAGAAGTCAACTACCATGGCTCATCAACCCGCAGTCCATTATACCGTTGACCCTTCCACCAACCCCGAATCGTGGCCACCACCAGCTCCAGGATTTGGCACAGTCATCAATAGAGTCAATGTAATCTTTGTCAACATCAACGGAACCTCCGACTTCACCATCCTGCGAACAGGCACCAATGAACATGTTCACCATGCGGTCACTCAGGTGACGAAGCAGCGCGAGGCCTTTATCGAATCATTAGCATGAATGTCAGCGAATACTCGTGCGTGGTGGTCATGTCTACGGAGAAGTCGAAGGAAGAACTTCTGTTTAGGAATGGGTTTCCTTGGGACAGGCCAAATGATCCTCAGCCAGATGTGGTATTGACTTAGGTGGATGTATAGGGCCAAGGAGAAGGGTTTAAGATGGGTTATGATGTATCGCAACTTTTGAAATAAAAGCTCGTTCATTTATTCTTATGCTACCTTGATCATGTCGAAGTTCATTTTCAATTCCAATATACGGAATCCCAGTGTGTAGGGCATTCTTTCCAACCTTTGAACCAATTCAAACCCATCCATTGTTGTATCATGCATGCTACAATTGGTTAGTACCTGCTCATACTAAAAGCTTGCCTGGAACTTACTTTATGTCTTATTGTCTCGCTGCCTATTTATAGCAACGGCCATTGCTGCAGTATCTCGCCGAGTTCTGACAGCACTCCTTCTTACAGCACTTCAGGGTTCGGCAGCAGAAGTTTCCGAGGGAGCACTTTCGGGGGAACTTGGCTGGGCAGACCTTAGCAGCTAGCTGAAGTCCCTCGCCGTGAGATGAGAGATCGTGGCCCTGCTCACTGGCCGAGGCAAGGTCGGGGAGGCCAGCAGCGGCCTCTTTCGAAGCAGCTGCGGAGACAAGAGGGGCAAGAACGAGGAGGATGGTGCTGAACTTCATAATGAATTGGAATTAAGCTTAATCTGACTGTGCAGAATGATGAGTAGCACCTTTAGCTGGAGCGACATCTGCCTCTTATAATGCAGCACACCGCCATCAATCAACGGTCCAAAATTTCACCGTCTTAGTCTTTACTGCCTAGCTGCAAGCCACTTATGGCCTTAGCTAACTCGCAAAGGCAGTTAATCGCTGATTGACTGTCTCACCATGCTCACTTTAATCCCGATAGAGTCAAGCCAGGTTCCATCGGAGGGCATAAGGCTGATTGAGAGCAGCGATCATCCCCGCAATTCTGGCAGAGCTGAAAACTTAGCATGAAATGTGCCGTGATCTTACAGGGAGTTGATCACGGATTGTCGGCGATGCATGCCCTGTCGGGACTCGCGCTGGATGATCGGGCGGACTGGAATTTGTTAGGCTTGTTGTGAGTTATTTATGCGCTGGCTGGAATGAGCATAAGGTTGTCGTGGTTGAGATACGCGCCTTTATTGGCTGTAATGGAGTTGCATAACTTTGCACGGGTTATTTTTAGGGCTTCCCCGCAAAGCATGCCAAATCAGGATAAGCTTATCGGTAGTCAATCCTCTTAACCTAGAGGCATGGGCTTTTGGCGAAGCGAAAACTGTTGCAATTCAGGCCCGAGACAATATTGTTATTGAAAGAGTTATGTAAATAGCACAGTGTAAGCACGATGTAATCTCACTTCAGGGTGAAGTATGGCTACCTAGCTAAGTCAGTTATGAGGAGAGGCGACCTACGCAGACATGAACACGAGATCCAGACAACGTCACCAAATTGTGATCAAAGGCCGAACTAATGACATCTGAAAGATAAGTCAAATTGATAACCCTGTAGGAATGAACAAGTATGGAAATTCCCCGAGGCACGTCGGACAGAAGTAAAGCCCGTGAACAGCGACAAAGAACAAATACCAGAACAAGGCTTCAAGAAAAAGAGTTGGCTTGTAGTCACAGAGACATGTTTCTGACGCTCCTAGGCCTCCAATAATGAGTCTTCTTTAAATAAATGTAAACACGAAAATCCATAACGCTGATACCGATACCATCAAACAAATTTTAACCAACCAGACTAATCCTGCTAACAAGTACCACCAAGAGATGCCACCAAACACACCAGAACAGGCTACAACCCCAGCCAAGGCCAAGCCAAGAAGCGCGGCCTCCAGACACCGGAACTCAAGATTCTCCGTCAAAATTGATCCTGCAAAGCTTCTTGAACGGCAGATCATATGGTTCGCCAACGGCTTTCCAGGCAACAAGCTCCCCGAAAGACTTGAGGCTGCGGTCGAGAAGGCAAAGCTTCAGCAGCCAAACTGGGAGAGGTATGCAGATAGAGGAGAGGAGTGGCCGTTGGAATGGGATATGAATGAGGATGATGCACTGAGTGATGCCATCACGCAGGTTCTGAGTGCTCCTCTTCGTGATGGTGTTGCGATTGAATGGCTGGGTCAGACGAAGGGCGTAATTATCAAGGACCTTGACAGAGACAATGAAGATGAAAGAGTGCGCTGAATACTGACGGACCGTTTCCGGAAGGCTTACAAGAAACAGTCAAATTACTGAAGATTCCTCAGGAATCCTTCCAGTCCTTCTGCTTCGTCAAAAACTCTTCCTTGAGATTCTGATACTCCTCATCCTCCTTGCACTTCTCCCAATACTCCCTAAAGATCAAGCTCGCCCTCAACTTCTCTTCCTTATCAGGATGCTCATCACTCTTCGGTAATTCCTCCCTTGTGCCTTTCTTATACTTCCGTCCCCCAGCATGATTCGCATATCGCTTTGCACGCGTCATTCCCATCTGGATGAATTTACGCGTCATGTCCATCCCCACAAAATCGCGCTGGTCTTTAAACTCGTTGAACTTGGTCCATAGGTCCTCAGCGCTTTTTCGCGCGATGGGGACTGTGCGGAAGCGCCAGAGGGGAAGGATGTCGGATTTGTAGGGTTCAAAGGTGAGGACGCCTTGTTCGCCGCGGCCGATGCGGTAGGACATGCGGTGGGCTTCGGATATTGTGTCCATCAAGGGCTTGGCTTTTGATCGTGATGCCGCCATTTCTGGTCTGTGAGGCATGGGTATTAGTGATAGAGAGTATTGATTGTGATGGCTGATGCCATTCAAATAAAGCTCTGGGATAGTAATATTGACGTTGAGCATGAAATGTGATGGGCTGGCTGCCAGCGAATGGATCTGGAGCTGGAATGACAGGATCTATGACGTCGGTTGGCATTGAGCCACTAGTTAGACACACAATAACAACCACTATTATTTAATAGTGCCATCACTTTTTATAAAGTCCATCAACGGCTTACTTTCTTTTATTAAAAAGTTATTGCAAACCTTATTAAGATGCTATATTCTCTGACTGAGCTGCATGATTGAGGAACTGGATTGAGGAACTGAATGGAATAGAAAAAAGTTCAGATCAATGAATCGTCACTTAGCATGAATGTAGATTGAGGATCTTTTGTAGATGTTTGTGACGATATTCTCGCTGCTCCGAACCTTGAGAGAAATATCACCAGTCATCCGAGTTTCAGGCGCCTCATACCGGTATTACTGTTGTATCTGTCGACCGCACCGCGTTTCTCTTTCACGACCTACTGACCTTGGCCCTTCAGCAAGCCGACCATTTATCACGGCCAATATCGACGAGGGTGGGAGGTGGTCAAGCCGAGGTTGACATTGCCATTATTGAGCTTCCCAGTGTTCAACTTGTCGAACTCCGCGAGTATGCTACGCTTCCTTAGCATAAACCGAAGGGGTTGGAGGAAGGCCTGAATGCCGGAAATAGATTGGTTTATGTAAGGAATGATGGCGGCGGATTGATTCTGAGACCTTTTGAACTACAGATTTGAGTGGCCTTTGTCATCATTTTGGCCAGAAATACAAGAGACAAAAGGTATATCACATGTAATTGTCACACTTGGATACCAACTGCGGTTGTTTCGGATGGCCCCCAACTTTGTATGTGCCGCAGGTTATTATAGCTGCCTTATCATTGGGGGCCAATTTCGACAGATTAATGAATGGGACCATGGATTTCTGCTTGGCCGTTATGTCACATACCAGATGGAGCAAAACCTGACGCTTCCCCGCTCCTTGGACGGGCATCCAATGTAACCATGGTATAAATGGCGATCCATCATTGGTTGAAGCCGTCTTGGCTCGAAAGTTTGCGGATAGAAGGATCGGGATTCCGAGTGGTCTTGACTGGAATATTAGGTTCGTAACATTGCAATGATAAGTAGCAAGTACCCGGAGATTACCACTTTGAATTAGCCGTATATTTCACCCAAAGAGTGAGTGCAGCTTTATAAAAGAGGTGGCTGCCCCTCACCATTTATTATTCGTATCAAAACACGCATAACGCCAGCTTCCGACAATGCCGGGACCAGACGAGACTTTTGCGCCTCTCAAGGCAACCGAGTACTTTTCGCCTTACCATCGCTCAGGCGCTCCAAAATCTTCCCAAATACCCGATCAAGATGATCCGTACGCGAAACTTCGCGCAAAAGCGCTGACAGTTCTTGAAGCACAGGGATTTGAAGCCAAGACTATGGTCGAACGTGGTGTGACCTGGGCAGAAGATCAAGACCCGTTCGGGCATGTCGCGCACTCGCAGTATCTGCATTTCTTCGGTATCTGCTGGCAGCGCGTCATGGAAAGCTATGACGAGTTCCTGTCAAAGCAGGAATACGAGGATATGATCAAGGGCAAGACCGTCATCCCCGTTGTGCACAAGTACGAGATATTGTTGAAGAGGCAAGTTCGATATCCAGACTCTGTAAGTCAAAAAAGCCAATGCGCGACCTTGAAGATCGGATCTCATTGTGGATAGCTCATTGTGGCCAATCGTGAAGAAAAGTTCACACCGAACCATAATATTGGTACGACAGTCCTGTTTTCTTTACAGCAGCAGGCAGTAGTGGCACAGGTTACGGGATCAATTACATACATCGATGCGAAAACTGGCCGACCAATTGATATCAGGACTGTGAGCGATGGTTGGGCCAAGTTGTATGATGGATTCACCCGCAAGGTTGAAACGGCAACGGCACTTCTACGCAAATGGGAAGAGGAGCATCCACCCAAGACTAAGACGAAACTGTAGATGATGTTTTGCCTCACATATAGCAGTGTTCAGTTTTAAGAATATCTTTCTATTAATATACTTTTGGAGCAGAATACTTCCACAGTAGTGTCTCATTAATTAGGTACCAAGTCACCTATCTACTTAGCACTCCATTAAAACTTATCTCAATTCTACGCAGTCTTTGAGATAGTGTAGATCATAATCAAGCCTGATCGAGTAGAGTACCTGGCGACTGTAGTATCGTCGGGGAGCAGATGGCCATCTCCGTTTGCTACAAGAGCCTCAGCCAATGTGCATTTCCCGACAGTTTCGAAACCAAGCTTTTCGTACAAGTGAACAGTAGTGGTGTTTTGGGGCTTGACCATCAATCTCACGACGGTTCTTGCCTTTTGTGGAGTTTCTTGCAGATACTTAATAACCTCCCTACACAGGCCCTGCCCCAATTTTCGTCCTTGGTGTTCTGGCAGGATGAACAGGCTGAGCATCTGCCAACGATCTTCTTCTTCGTCTTCGCCGGGCATTGGCTGACCAGAAACTTCGGGGAGGATGAAGTCTTTTCTGCTGACAGGACCTCTCAGAGTCACTTGTCCTACCCATTGGGAAGTGGACGAAGAGCCAGGGTCGACAGGGCTTGCGATGCAGACGAAGTTCTCTCTATCCTCTTGGAGGAGGCGATCCATCCATTGCGTCTCTGTGAATTGAGATTCGATTTCGTAAGTGGAAGAGAAGGACTCTGGGGAAGCCTTTAGTGCTTTGAGACGTAGGTCGCGGTATTTAATTGCGGATTGATGAATTGAGTCTGTCTTGGAGACGTGAGAGAAGAAGTAATGATATAGGGAGGACATAGTGACAGTGTTTTGACCGATCCCTCGCGTTATACGAAGGAAGTATGTTGAGAAAGTAATGGAGACTGAAGAGTCATAGATATCTGGCTAGATATATATCCAAACAATCAAGCCGCGGTGAAATTATGTCAAGTTGTTCTGATTAATAATCTGATCGATGGGCCCACGGTGATGACACTACAACTAACTTAACCTGACGTAGTTAGAATACAAGATAGGGTACACTATAGTGGAGCTTTGTTCCGGCAAGAAATACAAGATAGGGTGCATTACTTAAATTCTCTCATAAGGGCTTATAATAAGTGTAGGTATTGCTTGAGACCTAAGTACTCAGTCATCTAACTCAATCATTTCCTCCGCAACCATCAGTCCACCCGCCAGCACCCTTCACAACCTTGTTATTCTTAAAGCATCTCGATCTCACAAAAACAGGCGTGTTAAACGTAAGTTTCCACTCATACCCCTCCTCAGTCGGTTCATCGCAATACTCAAAGTTCCAAGCCGTCGTTCCAAGTCCATAGCACCCATCCATGCTCGGCCTCATTGTCTTCTGGCCAAAATCCCATGTTGAGAACCCACCGCCCTCTATCATATATGAACTGTGAGAAAAGTGATACCAACCTTTGCAAGCTCCCTGGGCGTATTCTGGTGGTGGCCAGGGCCTGTTGTAGCGTGTTGGGCTGACTTCGTATGTGTAGGCTCCATCGTCACGGACGTACTTACCTCCGGTCTTCCAGTTCAGCCTGCGATTGGTGTCGCAGTTTGAAGATAATACCTGGTACTATGTTGCTGGCCCAGACACTCCGACCACCAGAACCGCAGACTTGACAACGCCCACGCGGCTGGCAACAGCTATGCCGACCCAGTCAAATGTAGCGTCTGATTACAAGGAATACTGGCTCGTTTCTAAGAAAGATAATTGCAAGTCTATCCGAAGAGCCAATAGCATCTCACTAGAGAAGCTTCTTGCTTGGAACCCAGCTCTGGGTACCAAATGTAGCGGGCTGAAGCCTGATTCTTATGTTTGTGTAAGCACCGGTAAATAACGGTGCTCAATTTCGGGGTTGCTTTCATATGTCCTCCAAAAGAAAACTGATTATTGGAGGTTTTGTTAGAGCTGGCTAATCTACATCATCTGAGAAGATTCACACTTGTGATTATTAAGTTCGGGGAAAGCATTTTGACCGGGCAGCGCGCACCCATCGTTATCTGATGTGAAATCTGATCGTAGAATATGATGGTTTCTGGTAATACGCAGTGACAAACAGTCCACGTTTACTGGCCAGCCTTGATCACACGTCTGCTTTCCGGCTCAACATGTCATCATGCTCGCGGATACTAACCCTGCTACTTCTTGCCCACCGGCCAATTAACGCACAGTGCTAGGCTTCAGTAGTACAGTGCAACACCGCCAACCGCATATAAAAAGCTCGTCCCCTCCACTGTTATTCCGCTGCATCTCACGCCCAACAACTTACCGAGCACTTTTTTCTTTCATCATGCATCGGCGTTTTGAAGCATGGATTGACTCGAAACGGCAGAGTAGACGACGCACCCCTGAAATGCCACGGCTTTCCGATCCGCGACCGTACACATTGACACCAACACCGTCGCAGGAGCGAATTACAACATTAGCAGAAACGGTTCCCTTCTTCAGACTGCCCCTCGAACTTAGACGAAATATTCTTATTCACGCATTCGGCAACCGTACAGTTCATATAGACCTCGTTTTAACTCATCCGTTACGTGAACCGATCAACGATGAGCGATCTACTTACAGATCCACAAAGCCCGCCCACAGGTACCATACCGAGAATATGCACCTCTATCCATATACCGAAGAGAATCTAGGTCTGGACACAAATCAGCCTAGGTACTGGCAGTGGAGAGGCTGCGTATGTCATCGCCTGCCACATCCTCGTTTCAAGACTACTGTGGATTTCCATACTATCGTCAAGCCTGCTGATGATAGATGTTGTGAAGGATGGGCGGCCTATTGTGCCATGTGGACTAAACAGACTGACAAGCCTGATTCTTGCTGGATAGGAGCCATGGGCTGGCTCTTGACCTGTCGTCAAGCGTAAGCACTCTAGTTTCTCCATGGATCATATTGACTTGATACTAACTACCTTCTGCTCCAGGTACATCGAAGGAACTGAGGTCCTTTATGGCACAAACACTATTCATATATCAAGCAAGCCTCTTCTCACCAACTTGAGCACACTAGTCCCTCGGCGAAGTTTGTTGCTGATATCCTCACTTGATGTTGTGTTTCGGCTGGACACTGATACACAACAAGGAAAAGCATTTCCAAACCTGCAACAATTAGAACAGGATCTACTCATCCTGGATACACACTTTCCCAGTCTCTTGCGCCTCCATATCGGTCTACGACTCGACCTACCTATTATAGAAGATAACAGGACGAGTATCAAAAGGAGACCTGCACATGTAGTGGGTATGCTTCAGTCTATAGATAAGTTCCTCAAACGTCGACGTGAACAGCCCCAGTTTGGTCAGCTTCGGGACCCTCTTTTGTTGTCGATCCCGCAGTCTGCATACGAAGACTTTCAAAACGAGGTGCGTCACAACGATCAATATTATGTTAGAAAGAGTGGTGCCCAAGTCTGGCGACCGTTGTCACTTGCATCATTGGTGTTGGACGACAAAGGCGAGATAGCAAATGCAGTAGCAAGTAATGGCTACTGGATTTGGGGAGACTATGAAGATCGGTATGAAATGGATAAAAGGCCACTGGCTTTTTGAGGGAAATACAGTGGCATTGCAGTCCTGGAACGTACTTAGCATACTTATTTGAAATCCCCCTCTTCCCTAGCACGCAATAAATATCTAAAGAGATGCTTATTCCGCTACTGATAAGTAACCGCTACTAGTACACATCTTCTTTTTAGTACCATACACCGGAACTATGTAGTACAAAGTATAGCGGTCCTGAAGTACGGAATAAGCTTAACAGCATATAGAGCACCTGTCACGTTAGCATGCTAGCAAGTTATACAATTGGCTCAAATAAGACAATTAGGTTCTTATCTATACAAATTACCTAAGGGGAGCTCTCCAAGTCTTTCCCAAAAGGAATAGGTAATATATCACATCCCCCACAACTATCAAAAGCACGTAATACCGAGAAATCTTCACGCCTTCTCTGATGTTCACCACATTCTGAGATAACGAGCTTCAGTGGACTTATGATAAATCTTGTATTTTCCAAATCTCTACCTTGAATGAAATTATAAATATCACTGCTATAGTCGTACCAATGTGAAAGAAGCCGACATCTCCCTTAACTCACAAGTTAGACTATTACTTAAACTTTTACTTTTCGCCTCACTGTCTGCTCTACTATTGTTTCGTTATGGCCACTGTTTTAGTCAGGGACCAGAAGTACCTCGATGTATCCGAGTCTGAGATCTCTGTTGACTCGGTGCCACCACTTGGAGCGCCTGTAACTGAGAAGACTCACTTGTTCCAACGGGGCAAGGGTTTTGTTGCAGATGCAATCGCTACCCAAGTAAGTGACCTTTGATCTGCTACATTACTAGTACTTACCTCTAACACTATTTGTACAGGCCAGTGTTTTTGATGATCCTAAAACTGCCGAGCAATACCAGCCGCGATCAGACTGGTAAGGTCATCCATCTATCTATAGACCTTATGATAAGTCTTACTAATATCTTTGATCAGGGAAAACCTCAGTCGCTTTGATCCCCTTGCACGATGGACCTGGGGGGAAGAAAAGCAATTGGTCCGCAAAGTCGACATCAAAATTATGATCTGGGCATGTACCATGTTCATGGCCCTTGAGTTGGACAGAGCCAACATTTCCCAAGCCTTGACGGACAACCTCCTAGGCGACTTGGGCTTGACGACCAACGGTACGGTTGGCCCGCTTACACATATTGTATTCAGTGATTGATTATAATGCTACAGACTTTAACCTTGGAAACACGGTGTTCAAGCTCTCGTTCCTCTGCGCTGAGCTGCCATCGCAGCTTGTCTCTAAATGGATGGGTCCTGATCGTTGGATCCCGACCCAAATGTGCCTCTGGAGTATTGTTGCGGCGGCGCAGTTCTGGCTATCAGGCCGCGAATCATTTCTAGCCTGTCGTGCATTTCTTGGAATTCTACAGGGTGGCTTTATCCCTGATGTAAGTCGAGTCTGGTTAGGTCATTCAATGCCGGTTCATCAACCATGCTGACTGATCTCATCAAGGTGATTCTGTACCTCTCATACTTTTACAAGCACCACGAGCTTTCGATTCGTCTAGGGTTCTTTTGGACCATGATGAGCGTCGCCGACATCATCTCGGCGCTTCTTGCGGCTGCCTTGTTGGAGATGCGAGGTATCAACGGTCACGCTGGTTGGCGATGGCTGTTCCTCATTGAGGGCCTCATCACTCTGATCTTCGGCCTCCTCGCCTATGGTCTCATGCCCCCGGGCCCAATCCAAACTGCCAATTGGTTCCGTGGAAAGACAGGTTGGTTCACTGAGAGAGAAGAAGTCATCATGGTCAACCGCATCATCCGCGAAGATCCCACCAAGAGCACAATGCACAACCGACAGCCCATTACATTCAAACTGCTGTTCCAGAGTCTTAGTGACTACGACCTTTGGCCATTGTATCTGCTTGGATTAACCTTCCAGATCCCTGCCACTCCGGAGGGGCAGTACTTGACTCTGTCGCTCAAAAGCCTCGGCTTCAACACGCTCCAGTCCAACCTCTTAAGCATTCCATATACAGTATTTCATATTATTACCATGTTGATCCTCACTTATGCAGCCGAGTATGTGAAGAACCTGACTCTCATGGGAATAATTGGTCAGATTTGGATCTTGCCTTGTCTTATTTGGTTCAATGTCGCCAATACCCAGACAGCTAGCCGTTGGACTGTCTATGCCGTCACCACTGTGCTGCTGTCCTATCCAAATGGTGAGTAGAGTGGAAGGGAAGATCCAACAACTGGAGCTAACTGTTTCCATCTAGCCCATCCTATCCAGGTAGCTTGGAACTCTCGCAACTCGAATAGTGTACGCTCTCGAACCGTATCGGCCGCCTGTTACAACATGTTTTGTCAAGCTGGCGGTATTATCGCTTCCAACATCTATCGCAAGGATGATGCTCCTAAATACCACCGTGGTAATCGACAGTTACTTGCTATTCTTATTATGAATATTGTCCTTTATGTCCTGGTAAAGGTTTACTACATCCTCCGTAATAAGTCACGCGATAAGAAATGGAATGATATGACTGAGTCGGAGAGGTTGGAATATCTTGACACTACCAAGGATGAAGGCAACAGAAGACTGGATTTTAGATTCGCTCATTAAGATATCGTGGTTTTCTTTCTATGACGAAAGCTTGGTTGTCCCAATTACTTCCACATCGACTAACTGAAGCTTGCCAATCAAGAGGAGGAGCAGTTAGGAGCATACCAATTGACTATATATAAATAAATGGTGTCCATTTCTTAAGCTATTAGAGGTGCCTGACTAAAACATGGACAAGTGGTGGTACTGAAAGATCAGTGCCATTTTCACTATATTCTGTTCAAAGTATTTGGACTTACAAAGAGCAGTAACAAACAGGCGTATCTGCACGTCGTGAATCTTTTTATATCACAGCATCAACTTTTATCTGTTTTCAATATCTGCGCAGCAGATAGAATCTAACAGACTAGATAAATCCTACACCTCGGTCCCTAACACGACAAAACTCTCTGCTCAAGCACCACCTTTAACACGCGATGACAATATACAGTAATAAATGCCGTAATGTACATATTGGTTGGGTCCATTCCACTGTATTGACGCCACTATATGTACAATGACGCAACTCAATTAACATAACGTTGTACCCTGTTATCTCTGCTTGCTGATAGAGCAGCATGAAAAGAATTAGACTAATCCACTAGCTCTATCGCAGTTCGGGTCACAAGTTTATTGGACAATAGAACGGAGATACCTGGTTAACACCGTTAATTGGGGTATGAGCTGTTTCATCTCAAGCTGAACGTCATTGTGTACCAATCATATTCATGCTCTTCGAATCGCGCAATGAATACCCCCATGGCTCGTGCTTTTATTGAATTATTCGGTGATTCCCAGCTTGACTCTCTTGATACACTAGACTGATAGATCGCATTCATCCAAATCTAGATAGAATCACGAATTAATTGAAGAAAACAACATGACACAAAAGAACCTGTCGCAAAGTAGTTCTTGGACTTTGGATAACTGTAGAGTATATATATAGCAAATGCTTCTGTATTGTGATGATCGTGGCTTAACATACAGCTCTTCCGATGATATCAACTATCGCCTGCCACACACCAGTGGAAGCCTACACACACACGCTAAGCGGATGCTTGTATCCGATGAGCGTGATTCCCTAGTATTCCTGAGATGGTGTGTAGGAGATATGTCGAGCGAATTGCGCCAGATGAGGTGATGAAGGACATATCGGCCTGTGATTAGCTTTTTGTGAACAAGCAGCTTGGGCTCTTTAGAGACATCGAGTTTGCTTTTAAAGGAGGTGTACTGCTGTTCATAGTACGAGTAAACAGAAACCGCACTTATAGCAACATCTGTCCTAACAAATTGTGACGGCAAGCACCCTTCAGATTCTCTTTCAATACAACATACACAAACTCTTAGTTACTCATCATGTCGCCACCTGCTGCTAACGTTGATACCCCCAGCACTGCTCCAGCAGTTCAGCCTGTGCCTAAACCCGTCAAAGGTACCGAAACCAGCAGCACCTCACGCCTGCATGGTCCCCTGTCTTATAGCGGTAGCCTTGACGCTGAAGAGCAATTTGATGTCACTGCTGTAATCGGCCGAGAGTTTCCTAAGCTGCAGCTTAGCGAGATCTTGAAGGATGACAACAAACTCAGAGACTTGGCTGTGCTTGGTATGAATATCTGATCTGGCTCTTAGTGGTTTATACAAAACAGTGCTTACAATTCTAGTTTCCCAACGCGGCGTCCTTTTCTTCCGGAACCAAGACCTCAACATCGACGATCAGAAATACCTTGGACAGAAGCTTGGGGAGCTGACAGGCAAACCAGAGACATCCAAGGTTTGTCACTTCAGATGCTTGTTCTGAGTATTCAACTGACCATTTAGCTCCATCGACATGCGCTCTCAAACAGTAAGCGTGGTATTGCTGTTGATGAGAATGGAAGACTTGATGATGAAGTATCCGTCATCTCCTCTGAGCAGAATCGCAAGTTCTATAATGAAAAATGGAGCTCCCTTTCTAAGAACCTGGCTGGAGAGGGATGGCATGCTGAGTAAGTGTATGAAGGGAAAGTCAAATATGAGCATCTTAATAATGAGTCACAGCATCACGTTTGAGAATATCCCATCTGACTATGCTATTCTTAAAATCATCCAACCTCCACAGGACGTTGGTGGTGATACACTCTGGGCGTCTGGGTACGAACTTTACGATCGCCTCTCGCCACCGTTTAAGAAGCTGGCCGAGAACTTGACTGCAACTCACCACCAACCCAACTTCGTGCGAGTCAAGGAGACTTTCGGCGAAGATCTCATTGACGATTACCGTGGTGCTCCAGAGAACACTGGGCTAGATTTTAAGGCTGAGCAGTAAGCATCCCATGTCAGCTCTGACGTATTGGCGATTGAAAAAACTAACCGATCAGCCCTGTTGTGCGTACAAACCCTGTGACTGGATGGAAGAGTCTCTTCGCCGTGGGCCACCAGCTTTCAGCTGGACACATCA